TTGCGACGTCCGGTCGGTAGTGGGCGCGCTTAGGTGATCCTCCGAAACGCATGCAAATCTTAGCACGAACCAATGCGTGATCAGATTCCAGAAAAGTTGACCAGTACGATCGGCAGTCCATTACGCTTCCGCGCCATCTGTAGCTGATTGCTATGTGGTCAAGCTGGGAGCACTCTTGCGTTTGTGAGGGCGGGCGCCAGGTAGCAGTCTGTCTCCTCGAGTGTCGAAAACTAGTGCTCGAAAGAAACAAGCGATGATCAGAGCAAAGAGCAAGTAGTCTGTCTCCATTGTCTGATCGACTGCCACCGAGACCAAAACTACCCCCAATGTGGTGCTCGCTTGGTAGAAGGCGGCCAACCCGTGCGTTAAAGTCCCCGGCAAGAATGACTATATCCGTCCGTTTGGAGGAACGCAGAAGTTCATGTAGTTGTTGGTAGAAGCTATCTTTAACTGCATCCGGGCTGCAGTCTGTAGGGGCGTAGGCGGAGACGACAAATAAGGCACGCGTAACATCTCGACGCCTGCTTACGTTACATGAACCTCTTAGTCTGACTGCACATAGTCGGCTGTTGACTGGGATCCAGTCAAGCAGAGCTGATTCAGCCCTGGCACTTAATGCAACCCCAACACCAGCTTGACCAGTGGCGGCAGATTCTGGGTCTCCGGAAAGCCGCAAGTAGTATTTGGCGTCAGAGTTTACCGGAGAGGCCATTCTGATGACGGCGCTAGAGTCTTGTAATCTGGTCTCTGAAAGACAACAGATGTCTACCGATAGCGTTTCAAGAGTACGGGCCAGACATGCTTGTCGTCCGATCTGCATCAAAGTTCGAACATTAAACGCTGCGAGGATGAATGGAGAACCAGGTCGGAGAAGAGCTGGGGCTTCGGTGGAGTGAGAGGCGGTTGCGATCGCAGGACATTGAGAACCGGGAGTTTGGCTGTTACTTCCATCAGCTGCGAGACGTGGGTCGTTTGTGACGGTGACCGTAGAAGACATAAGAGTACGTGTAGATGAAGGACGGGAGGTGGGGTGGTCTGTGAGTGGACGTTGAGCGGTTGAGTTAAGACAGAAGAGCGGCATAGCAGTAGTAGTAGTGAGCGGTGTAGTCCATGATTCGTCAGCGGGCGTGATACTACCCGGTTGCCCAGGCCGAAGTAGAGGGTTGTCTTAGGGGGCCCTACCCCGAGCCTTTGATCAAAGACCTAACCTACAAGGCAGCAGGGCGATGTGAGGGCGTCGCAACCCGTTGGGAGCCGGTGACCAAGTAGATGGTTCATACGCCTTTCGGTCCGTGAAGGACCAGGGGCCCAACTCACCCTTAAAGTACAATGCCTCTCAGGGAGGGGCAAGGGGCAGTGACTTTATTTAGTGGCGAGTCACATCCGCCACGTCGCAGTGTTGTTAAACGGACATATGTGGCTTTTTATAGGGAGAACGCTTGCCAGGCGAAAACCCACCACGTCCTGGAACACTGCCGCCGAACCATTCGCTGGAACGGGAAAAACCCGAACCACCCAGCTGGCACCACGAGGAGGTTGTTCGGCAAGCCAGCCACGAACTCTGTCATGGTGCTTCTTGATCTTCCATATCCATTAGACTCCAGCAGTTGGATTTGTACTACATAGAGTTCCTGCGAGAGGCACTCGGGAGCCAGTCACAAAAGGTTTACCATCCGAACGCCGCCTGCTCCACACGAGGTCACAAATAGGAGAGGTTCAAATCAAGAAGACCGAATTCGCGCAGTTGTAATTCTTTCCACTCGTGTGGTGGATGACTGATACGGTTTACCGGAGGTAATGGTGGCAACATCACTGGAGGGGAGTTTCAACTAGCTTTGAGAAAACCACTCGATGAGGATGCTAGAATTGCGAAGAACCCTTGAGGGAAGTTGTCACGCGACGACATGCATCAGATACACAATGATTTGGAATCACCGGAGCTGACAAGGGTTTTCCCCTCTGTGCTCTACCATTCAATGCATTTCAATTAACTTAGAGGATGGTCAGATTTTGACAGTTGCTTGTACTTCTTGTGAAGTGTTCGATTGCGCACCCAAGACCAAATGCGCCATCGACACGTTACCTAATGAGAGGGAGTGTTCTGCAAATGATTTATTAAGTCGATTTGGGCATTTCACCGTCATCTAACTATAAATCTGGCGATAACTAGAAGACTGCTATTCATAAGGTCTTCCTGATGCTGTGAAAGTTCCGCAATTCGCCCGGGATCAGAACGAAGGAAATGTATTTTTACCATCTTTAGACCATACTTGTAATACAACCCGTACGTCTATTTACCATGTTTAGTCCGCGACAGAATAGTATTTGAACGGGTTTTAAGAACTGGCACTAAAATTGTACATGAGTTAGAGCACCGGTGGTATCATGTGCGGCTGCTCAGATTGTAAATGTCTTCACTGCACTTGATTCTTACTTGTGGTATATCGACTGGGCGAATTGAACCTGACCTGTCACAACCGTTTCATCCTGCTCGGACGCCATCTCTACGAGGTCACTCATTACAACTATCTGGGCATCAGTAGTATACAGGTACGCAGTATCGACGCTTCGCTGCCGCGTAACCACCCGTCGCACGTGGGTTAATCCTATTGCGAGGGTCGCCCGGTCCTTACGCATTCTCGAACCCGCGCCTTCGGATTACAAGACAGGCTTGTGATCCTTAGGGCTACTGGCCGGAGGCCATTAAAACTACATAAACCCCAATCTGATCGGGATTGTCGCTTCTTGGAACGCACTACAAAGGTGCCAGCAGTACGCCGGCACACCGTATTACTGCTCTACTACCACGCTAGGGCTGCTTATACCGCGAGATCGTCTCCACTTGTGCGGACGTGGTGTTAGCGCCAAGGTTGTAGGAGTGTGAACATCGACTCGATGCCGTTGGTCTGCAGTTTCAAACTTCCTCTTTGTATCAACCTCTATTTCTTTAACTTCCCACCTTTTGTTGTTACCGTTACCTTCTGTTTCTGGGTCTCAGCAAGTTCTAAGTATTTCGATTTATTTTCCGTTGTCTCTTTCCCCTCTGTTATCCTTTATTCTTCACGTGGCCGGTATAGCGGGGCTCTCCAGTGCAGGCCACGTGAGCGTTGGTTGTTTGATCGCAATATGATTCGAACGTACTGGTTTGACTCTCCTTAACTCTGAATTAATTCAATAGACTACCCTGTTTAAAAGCTGAACCCAAGATGGGATATTCATGAGAATTTCCTGCTGTTCCAATTCCATTTGAACTTGAACTTGTTTTTTTTCTGTTTTGACGTATCTGTGCAATCGAAATAAAAACAAACAGAGTCGGTTGCTTCAGTCTATCTGGTGTAGTGACTAGGTCAGGTCAGATTCCAAAGGCATCACAGGCTTCTGTGTAACGAACGTTTTGCTTATTGTGCTGGCAAGCGGACCATGGCTGTCGACACTTCGCGTTGCTTCTGCAAAAGAAGTGAAGCAAAAACGAAGGTAGTCTATGTACTTTCACCATTCAATGTTCCGGGACATGTTGAACGGGATGTTAGCCAACAAGAGTTCTTCTCTTACAAGTAATGCCTATTCCGTTAGTCGATTGAGGGTTTACTGGCGGGGATACCATGATCGTCATGATTCTCTGAACTAGTCATCGTTATCCAAAGTGTCACAGGTGAAATGCCACATCACATCTTTGATTACTGAGTACACTTTGTTTCTACTGATTGTTTGATTTGGACCCAGGGCGTTCGTGAACAGACTCTTGGCGTGACACTTTTTCACGCCTCTTGTTTCATACTTGCTTCCTTGTTCGTACAGGGGATGTTTACACCTTTCGGGACGCGACGAATGTACTACAGAACTGCTTCTTGCTACCGAATGCATCAGCTCATGAATGAAGCGAGTTTCTGTCGTACTTTCGGCTATTTTAACGCTTAATGTATTGTTACCGGCCCACTTCGGCTGAAAAGGCATCAAAAAGAACCAGACAACATCATGGACTCTTACGGCGAACTTTCGGTATTTTTGAAGCATCAATCCTTCCGCAAATGTTGAACGCCTACGTGAGGCCTCACGTGGAATATGCAATCCAGGCCTGGCGTCCCTGGCGCAAGCGCGACGTCGATGCACTTGAAGCTCCACAACGTAGAGCGACCAAACTCGTTAGAGGATTGTTTCATCTCTCCTACCATCGCAGAATGCAGCTCCTGAGAGCATACAGCGGTGAATCTCGACGTCAGCGAGACTTGATCCCGGTTTACTTAATTTTGACGAACCCAACTCACCACTTTCGCAATCTGTTGCAGGTGAGCCAAAATACCAACCTGAGAGGTCTTCAGCTCAAATTCGCTGCGCACTACAGTCGAATTGATTGTCGACGAAACGTTTTCTCCCTCCGTGTGTCCCGTGCCTGGAATGCCCTTCCGACTTACGTTATCCTTGCCCCTACATTAACGCTTTTCAAAAAACGCCTTGATGAAACGCTTTCAAACTTGCATTACTTGATATAGTCCGTTCCACTTGGAGGACGAAATAACGCAAACCTAACCATGTGCTTAACGGCCCTCTCCGCAACGTGGCGGTGAGGATACATGCAGAAGTGTTCATGTGATTAGCCTGGATGTAGCTAAACTGGATTAACATCTGTCAAATGAAGAAACAAACGAGAGATTCGTCGTTTTCTTTTTTATTTCTCAAGCACTTACGGAACTATAACAACTCTATACTATATTTCGTTTGCATATCCCATTCCCACTTCAAACTATCGTTATGCAGTAGTGCATTTAAATCGTTGGACGCTTGAAATAACCATTTACTTATTCGATGATCCTACAAATTTTAATTTTTACTCCAATCATCCTACGAGACTTGTCAAGCACATCTTTTTTTTACCAGCGATAAATCATTGTCCTGTGCCCATGCATGATCCGTGGTTGGATATTCTTTTCCATCCATGTCAATGATTTCAGCGTTCGTTATGAACTTATTTACATATGTAATTCTGGTGATCTAATGCTTCAGATTCTTCTGTACTCGGTCACCTATCTGGCTTAACACAGTGTCCATCGTTGACGGAGGATGCCTCGCATGAACGATGGTTCACTATTTTACTTGGAAGCAGCGTACTTAGTTTGCCTCGTTATGGGAAAAACCACGAGGCTCAAATCAGCTCTTTATGGGAATCACTTTAAAACGGTGAGTATACTTCTTATTACTCGCTGAAGTCATTTCTCCCATCCATCTGGCATCTTGCTCAAGGTCTTTTCGTATTTCGTTCTTTGTACATTTTTCAACACACATTTGTTGCTATTTTTTCAATAGTTTTAGATGATAAATTTTTCCTGCGTCCACCTTATGCTTCAGGTTCAGGGCGTTCTACAGGGCATACTGTGTCGTCGTTTAAATCCTTCGAGCGTTTGCCTTCTTCACCAGGCTTTTTGGTATTTGTAAGCTCGTTTCTTACCACCACCTACGCACCACGTTCTTACCGCTCACCCACATGCACCTCATCTCCTGATTAGGTTCATTTCCGTACGCGCATTACCCTATTGTGCTCATCATGATTCCGGCTAATTTGTCTCTGCTCTACACACACGTATTACTTCGAAGGCTGAGTTTTCTACTTTTCGCATAATTTCACACCGGGCTTTGTTTCATACCGTTGCAGTACCGACGGCATCCCGACGTAGTAGCGATTTGGGTTACCCAGCTAAAGCGACAGGTCACAAACACGAAAACAACATGAGTGCGCTATTATTTATTTGCGGTCCTAAGTCACACAAGTGTGTAGCAACGGTTGTAGCGGCGCCCATACATCAGACAAACTACGGGCGCTTAATCTGTAACCGGTTGTGACCGGTTACAGAAGTCGAAACGACGCAAGTTTGTGCCGAGTTAACTAAACAACCGCAAACAGTCCAAGAACAGACGGGCACTTTAGGCTTTCTAGGTACATAGTAAAACTAGTTATTTTGGAATAGCTTTTTTGTGGCACAAAGAGCGCAGGAGGGAATTGTTGGGTTGCGGTTGGCGGCCTCCGGTTGATTCATTCCTGGCTGTGTTAACATGGTTATTTCTTGTTAGATTTCTTCTTGGAAATTACAGTGGCATTCAGTTTGATTTCTAATTTTTTTGATTTTTCGACCACACATACTTGTGCTCTCTCTTTTATACCGGAGATCTTAGTATCACTGTGCTCACAATTAGAGCGCATTCAACCATCTCGTGACCGTTGTCTCATCATCGTGAACGCGGCCGAATCGGACAACACTAAGCGGAGAGAATGTTGGATGATCAAATACTGCTCGAGCGGATGATTTCTCTACTGTTTGATGTAGGCGAACAGGGAATAAACATTGTCTCTGCCTTCCGTCTCGGTAAGAAGCAGGAGAATTCTGCCAAGGTTAACCCCCTCAAGATTGTATGCGGAAACGAAGAAGAGTACGCACACATCCTGCGACGGACTCCCCGTCTCAAGGGTGAACCGTTCTGGGTGTTACGAGACCTCTGTCCTGAGGACCAAATTAAACTGAAAAAGGCTCTAGAGGAGCTACGAACACGCCTGGCGAGTGGTGAAACCGACCTGCATATCGTGGATTTTTGCGTAGTTCAGAAGACCTCAAGAGCCCGCTAGAGGCCGATTCTCGTGACCTCCAAACAGTAAAGCATTAAAATGGACTGCGCGTGCTATCTGCCAATGTACGCAGTCTAAGGAATAAGCTGGATGAAATTCGGTTGGTTTACTTCGGAGACTCGTCCAAACCTGATGGCCTTCACCGAAACCTGCCTATTCTCAGATATCACGTACTCAGAAGTGTCTTTCTCTGGATATCACCACTCCCGGTCCAATCGCCACAGAGTGAGATCAGGTGGTGGAGTAATTCTCTACTGGAAGACAAATCTCAAAGTACATTTAGTTGAAGCTATCAGTGTCCATGATGACAATTTCGAAGCCCTCTGGTGCCGTGTTCATGACGCATGCAGATCTCTTGGTCTGTGTCGTCTACAGAGCACCATCGGGCTCCGAAGCGCGCTTGTTGGGCTCGATAAGGATGCACGGTGGTCTCAAGGACTGTCTATTCTTGTGGGATTTCAATGCGCCGAATATCGATTGGGACCTACTTCTTTTTGATCGCCGGTCTGATTCCTTCGATGACACATTGCTTAAAACCGCTCTCGACTGCAGCCTCGTTCAAGATATCTTGACGCCTACTCGTCTTTTCCCAGACCAGACTCCGCACATCCTAGATCTCGTGCTCTCCCCGGCAGATTCGGATGTCACGAACCTAACCGTTCTTCAACCCATAGGCAGGAGCGATCGTTGTGTTGTTTCATTTCACTGGGCTCGCCGTCTCACGATCCATAGACACAATGGTCACCGACGGCATTTTTGGCTTGCCGACCCACTCCGTCTGAAAACGGCCGCAAGCGCTACGGATTGGGGTATCCCTGAACCCATTCACCTCCACGACGTGTGGAATCTTGTACTTTCCAAAATACCGTCGCTAATTAAGCAGGTCGTTCTCTCCTATCGAAAGCCCTTCACTAAAGGTCCACCTTAGAGGGATTGAGGTCGACTATGAATAGACGACACAAATTATGGGACCGCTTTATCTAGGCAATCTCAATCAGAACCTGACTTCTCTCAATACGACTGTCAAAAATCTTTATGTCGCAATGAAGCGTCAGAAACGCCGACAATACGAACTATCTTTGGCACAATACTTCAGGATCGCGCCTAAAAATGCTCTATTCTTATTTGAAAGGAAGTATTAGAGCTGGTAATGGCATCCCTGCTTTGTGTTCGTGTGACCATCAAGTTTCACTTCATGAGGACGCTGAGAAAGATAGTCAATTGGCTAAGCAATATGCTTCTGTTTACGCGAAAGCAGCACCATTTAGTGACAGCCGTATCCACTTTTCCATCTTCTTCGGCCCAACTAGCTATTAACACTGATTCTGTGATGAAACGTCTTCTTGAGTTAGATCTGTACAGCTCACCCGGCATTGATGGATTACATCCTTTGTTCCTCAGGACTGTGGCGGAGTAGATAGCTTCACCTATATGTCAAGTCTTTCGTCGCTCACTAGAAGCTGGCCGTCTTCCGTCAGCTTGGAAAGTGGGTATCGTCAAACCCATCTACAAAGGAGGAAGTCGACATGATCTGGCCAATTATTGCCCAATCTGTTTGACGTCAGTAATGTGTAAAGTTATAGAACGGGTCCTAAAACAGGCTGTTAATCTTCATCTTGGGGGCAGAATGTCATTTCTTATACCCGGCATGGGTTCCGAGAAGCACGCTCCTGTACCTCGAACTCGCTCGTTGCTAAGGAGACCTGGGCAAGATCACTAGACTCCGGCAAACGCTTGGACGTTGTGTTTGTTTTCTTCAGCAAAGCTTTTGACAAAGTCCCACATGAACGACTTCTGTTTAAGCTTCAAGGAATCGGTATTTCTGGGAACCTCCTGTCTTGGATCTCCGACTTTCTAAACGACCGCTGTATGCAAGTGAAGGTGAATGACACATTTTCTGCTCCTGTTCTCATGACGAGTGGGGTCCCACAGGGCTCTGTCCTCGGTCCCGTACTTTTGAATATCTTCATCAACGACTTACCGTCCACTCTTCAGACGGATTACCTAATCTACGCTGACGATCTAAAGCTATGGATGGAAGTATCCAGTCTTGAAGACGCGGACAGATTACAAACTACGCTCGATCTACTCCATAATTGGTAACTTAAGTGGCCGTTACCCGTGAATCGTGATAAATGCCCTGTTCTCCCCTTTGGCTCATCTAACCCATTTGGAACTTACCACATTGGTGGTTCCTTGCTCAGAAGTGCAACCCAAGAGAGGGATCTTAGAGTGATAATGTCATCAGACCTCAGAGCTATTCAAGACACTCAAAAGAGGTCTGCCGCGTCCTACAGGACGTTCCATTCTATACGTAGAGGGCTCTTCTCTCCTGACCCCGGGCTTTTCCGACTCCTGTTTGGCTCGCATGTACGCCCGATTCACGAATACGGGCTACTCGCTGCCTATCCTCTCATCAAATCCGAAGGTGATATGTTAGAGAATGTTCAATGGCGTGGATCCAAATCCGTCCCTAAGTTGCAGGACCTGTCGTATCCACACCGACTTCAACGACTGCACTTGTTCTCTCTAGGTCACCGCCGTCACCGCGGAGATTTGATATTCACTCGACATATTTTCAGAGGAGAACTGTGAGTTCGACACGAGGTCACCACTTAAAACTGTTCAAACCGGGGAATCTCCATGTGCGGCTCAATCTGGCCTTATCAACTCGCGTAGTGAATGATTGCAACCGGTTGCCGGAGCCTATCGTTGATGCTGAGATAGAGGAACGTTTCAAACAACTGCTCACCTGATCGCGCTGGGATTTTGCTGCCTCTAATACAGCTACGGTGGTCCTCTGCGGAACCCTGTTCCGCAGTGACCCACGCCATCTCCGCAATGATCGGGAAGTGAAGGAGCTGACATAGAATCTTCCTTCTGTTCTCTATCATCCAATGATACCTTGGTCTCGAATTTTTCACAGTGTCGAAGCAATCTTCTTGCGGTGCCTGTTCCAAGGTTGTTGGAAGTCGAGCAAATGCACTCACGTGTGTGTCACTCTAACTTCGGTATCATGCATTAGACCATCGATTGAGCCTGTTGGACCTTTTCTTAAAACCCAGCATGATTTCGTTCAAATTTTATGGAAGAAACGTCGAAACGAGATGTAACAGGAGAAAGTCGAGCAGAATCGCAAGCCACGGTGTAGACTCAATTATTCCGTTGCGAGCACCTGTGTATTTGACCCAACAAACTAATCCCAAGCGCCTCCAGGTGCAAATTCACCGGTTTGCGAACAGTCCAGTTACGTCTGACACGAATATTTTACATTTGTTGTACTCTACAGACACAGATCTCCTAGTGTGTGAAGATCTGTTACTGAAGTCACTGCCAACCACATCTTGCATTTGTGGAACTGTTAGTCCGACATTTTACAATCTTACATAAGGACTTGCAGAATGATCAAATTATCACGGATTGCAGACATTTTTTTATAATATTTTTGCTTATATTGCGATGGAGTTGTCTAGGTTTAAATTCATACTTGCTCCCAGTTACAGTATTCTAGTACAGTATACCGGTACGATATGTACTGGTTCTATTACGCAGTGGTATATTTTCGTTTCAACTGTTTCCTTCAAACTATCCGCAGTCTTTTTGCACATGTGACTACCTGACACCGTAGACATCCACCTGTATCAGTGTCAAGTATTGCTACATAAAACAAAGGCCCACATTTACGTTGGACTCCGTTTTATCCATCTTTACTTGCTTTGGTCTATACTTACTCTTATCTCACTTGAACCTCGATGGTCATTGATACTTTCATGTTGTAGGATTTGAGAAAACTGTACGCGCTGGCTTCAAAATCACTACAGTCGGGTGCCCTTCTAAACGCAGTTATTGACCATTGTGGCTTGTTGGAAAAGGAGAATCCTGCGCATTTGATCGTTCACAATATTTCTAACGATTCTTATGGCTGTAAGCGATGTTTCTTGGTGGTACTATCCTACGACTTGCTGATGGGTTGCCAACATTCAGCATATGACTTGGTCTCACTTGAACTGACAAAAATAACAGGAGACCGGACTACTGCACAGAAGTTGCGTCAAAGCTATGAGGCAATTTGTAAACAGAACCCACAAAACCTCACGACCACGGGTAAGTTTGCTCATATTTGCAATTCCGCTCACCCGAGTTGTGTACGGCTAATCTGCTTAGATGCTCACTAGCTTTTCATTACTGCCCTTCATTGAAAAGATGCACATGGCCTGGCTACAGTTCGTATTTTGGCCGGACTAGCGAAAAGCAAGCAGGCTCCCGCAAAAAGAACGGGGCTGTATAGACCACATATTCACTCCGCGGCAGGTGTCACACGTATTGCAGACCGACAGTAGCTGTTCATCGATTTTAAGTGTGTTCGACTTTGTCACTCGTTTTATTCTGTTCAAACTACTCCTACAGATAGGTGTTTCCATGCCATATGTGATCATTTTATGTGGGCTCTATTCGAATACCACAGATCGGGTCGGGATTCACGATGACTTGACTTCACGTTTGGGCATTTGTGTCTCTTGGTTATCTTACCTAGGTCTTGACACTGACAGTATCCCCGTCCGCATGCAACCATCGCCTAACCGTTGCACCATACTTCGGTCTGACTCTTCATCAGCCATTACGGTTTGCAAATGCTCACCTACACACAACAGGACGGACGGGTAAAACGATCTACTACCGATTCCGTTCTTTCTTCTCTCTTCCACCCTCTTCGATCCCCTTTCTCCGTAGTTCCCAGCGTAAATACTACAGCCTCGGTATAACTGAAGTTTTACCGTCTACATCCGTCTCACCAGAGGATCAAATAGTGTCCTCCCACCAAAACGTTGGATATGGACCTCGGGATGATCTGGAGACTCGGTAGAATATGATGTAGTCGTGCAATTAGTGACTCTTCCCTCTATCCGGTTTCTTGCATCCAGTTGTTACTACCTCATCCCGCTTAATTCTAGTCACTTTCTTGATTCCATTTTCCTTGTATCCTATCTGCGTTCAAACTCATTTTCCAACCATTGTTGTTTGTCGTTATCGTGGCTAGGCGAGTTTTGGAAACCGGATACGCCGTACTTAGGTTCCCGGATCATAACTGTTTAACTTAACTGAACTCCCATCAAAACCAACCTACTTACCAGACTACGCTATTTCCTCTTTTCGGCTTCATTCAAAGTCTGTACCTTATGACAGATACATCGACTTTATATGTGTACATACACTAGACACTCTATTTATGTTATTTCTTGGAAAGTCATACTGTCATCAAACCACAGGGGCTTTCTGTCCCCTCACTCTGTTGGCTACACGCGTCCGACGATACGGATGCACACGGTTAAGCTGATTTGGGTATCGTTTTTGGCTCTCGGGGACAGAATCCTCGTTGGCTGAGTGAATTCACCTGAACGTTGTCCTCTCATTCGACAACGTTAACCGAACACATCGCACGACGCAGATCCGGACACTACCTGATCGTGACTGCTTCATCCGCTTCAACCGATTACCGTCATGATTCCGCCCAAGGCTCCTACCATGAAACTACCTCACAATACTGAACTGGATGTCACCGATTTTGATCGCTTTCACTGTCAATCTTTTGTAGCGCGTTCACGTGTCTCAGGGTAAAAAGCATATGTATTACACCGGGGCACCGTATCGATGCTACGTTGTCTCTCGACCACAACAAATTGGGAATGAGCTAGAAAATTTTCAGGGTCGCCCGTACCTACACCGATTTGGACCGGCGACATTTTGGTTACAGGGCAGATATCTTATCCCTTTGGTCACCGGCCTGCATGTCAGGATAGGCGTTATTTAGCACACAATCCCACTTTTCATCCCATGACTAATCATCTAACAACCCGACACTTAGCCTCCATTTCCCATTTATTCAGTCTTGATGATTCTCTCTGTTTGTGGTTACGTTTCACTTTTTGCTCTCGCGTTTACTTTGGCTGTCTTCCCTCGTACGTTCTTCCCTCGTGTGCAATGTACCTCTCTGAGTGTTCTGAGCGGTGTGGTATCGATCACAGCGTCGAAGCTTTTGTGTTTTTTTGCGATCGATCATTACTTTTGCTTTTATTACACTTCCCTGAACTATGTCAGTCAATTTTAATTTCTCACTCTTCTCCAGCCACCGGATTCTCTCTGCCTTGTTACGCAAGAGTCAATCAACTCTGTGCATCTCTGGATTGTGTCCTACAAGAACTGTCTACTCATGGGTTCAAGCAGCTACTTTACAACCGAGAGAACATTTCTTATCGTCGGTAATTTCTCCATCTATTTCTCCACCTGTGCCTATTAAAGGCTGTGAGTTGGCCATTATCATGAACTTTGACAGTATCCAGTTGTGGTGTTTTGTTGTTTTACGAATCTATCCGTTTAAATAACCACAAGTAACCTGATGTTAAACCCTTTGGCTGGACACATTGTGCCGATGGCAGCGTGTTCAACCACATTGTCTTTATATGACGTTACCTGGTACTTCGAAAGATGACACGGTATATTTATCAAACTTTTATACTATTGTCTCAGTGATCTAGGTGAATTATTCCTCATCGCTATCATGCTCTTCGATTGTAGTTTCTTGAAGAAAGTGAAAAAGTTGGAGGGTAATCAGTTCATGCTGGATTACCATTTGCCCCACGTTCTGCTTGTCTTCCCGCCAGGATTATGCTTGCACAAACTCCCACCATCCGTCTCTGGTAATCTGATTATTCAAGACAAGGTAAAACGTTTTGTGCCACTGGTTCTCACATTATCTGGACGATGTGTCAGTAGTGTTTGTGACGCTATGTCATTGACAAAGTGTAGGCATCTTGACCCCGAGTGTTTGTTTAGGGCATTAAGGTTTTCCGGTAAGTCCCCCTTCTCTCCCTCTTATTGTTCTTCGTTTCATAGATTACCGTGGTTGTACGGCAGCGAAGCATCAGTTCAAGTGGCTGATGTACTGCTGTTGATGATGATTATGTATCAGTGCAAACCTTAGGATCCATTTTCTGTTAGTGACATCCTTATTATCTGTTGTGCGGTTTCCAGCATCCACTTTTTACCGTCAGATGTAGTTTCTCGAATATTAACCATATTACAAGGAATAGTGATGGGATTCCAATAACATAAGTAGCAATTCATCACATTTAGACTTTGTTAGACACACCCGGTAAAACACTGTACGGTCGTTTCATCTTTTCGGAAATTGTCAGCATCCTGTGAGGCTATCCTGTCCTCTGCACGGCGGTAACGTGCAATTCAGTGGATAATGAGTGGCGCTATATCACATCTAGTAACTTATGTACAATGGTCGTTGCCATCTCCCGTAGCTCAATGGTTTAAATCGCAGACTGGCAACAGTCGAGTTGCGGGGTTGAGTCCTACCAGAGTCCGATAGAATGCGCACTGCTGACAATTCCCAATAAGGATGAAATGCACGTGCAGCACTTTTCTGGGCGTGTGATGAGCTTAGGTGTGATAAATTTTTACTTCTACTTCCAACCCCTTACTACTGCTTCATAATCCTATATTGTTGAAGGAATGGGGTCCTCAGGGTCTGTCACATCAGAAGTTGGATACCTTATCGGATATGGCGCGATCGCTTAGTCGACTGCACTCTTGCCTCGGTTCCCTCATCTCAGACACCGGCTTATTCTGTCTGATAATGCCAACTCGTGTCCATTTCTCCCCACTCATTGTCGATGCTATCATTATTTTGACGTGCGTCAAGGTAGCTTGGTACTCTGCCCCCTTTCGCGCGGATCAAAGTCGATAAACTGCACCGAACTGCTGTTAAACAACACATCCATATACCGTTGAGACACGAGACCAAACGCACTAGACGGCATATGCACTTTTGTGTTCAATCCTAGCCCAAGTGCACTGTATGAATCGACCGATGCCATAAAAGTAAAAACTGTTAGTATCTGAATACTGTATTATAGAGCAAGTAGAAATGGATCCTGTACAACTCTTTCGAAATATGGCGAAAAACGTTATAAAATTGTCAACCGTGAATATCATTGTCGTTCTCATGTAATATTTAAAATATTCGACTTACGATATTTCAGGATTCACAAATGTGATATGTCATCGTAAGTGTGCAGTCGTTCTCTGAAGCGAATAGAGGCAAAATACAAACCTAACAACGTTTTAAACTGCTGCACAGATGTTGCCTCAATCACATGTTCGGGCAAACTGTTCCAAATGTTTACCACTCTCCGTTCGAAGAACAGTGGGTGGGGAACACATTTCACATCTGGCACGACAAGTTTGTATCTGTGTCCGCGTGTGCTGCATGGTCCTCGTAAGTGCAGTATTGGCTTTAACATGCGGAAGTCACCGAGATGTAGAATACGGTAGGTCATAATGAGGTCGACTCGCACCCGACGGTAGGACAAAGTGTAGAGCCCTAGTTTCTCGCACCGGTCTTCATACCCCAAGCCACGTAAACTCGGGATGAGCCTGGTAGCAACGTGTTGGACCCGTTCGATCTTTTGTGCCTCTCCTCGGGTAATCGGAAAGTAGGCGGGCGAACCGTACTCTAGCATTGGTCTAATGATAGAAGAGAACAGTCGAGTGGCAACCTCTTCAGACCATGTGCCGAAGCTACGTTTGAGCGCCCAAAGCATGCGCAGTCCGTTCCGATATAACCTGTTCGTGTTGTCCACGGACTTCAAATCGTAGCGTGAGAGTACACCTAGGTCCTTCACGGAAGGTGTGGGGATATAGTGATTGGCCGTTAAGGGTGTAGGTTTGGTCGTTGGCACCCATCCTCAGGCTCATAAATACAAACTTGACTGGGTTGACCGGGAGAAGAACTTCTGCAGACCATGTGGATAGGCGGTTGAGGTCTTGCTGAAGTAGGCCACAGTCATCGGAAGCGTCGATTTCTCTCCAACTCTTCATGTCGTCCGCAAACAAGGCACACGGCGACCGGAGAAGTTGCGGTAGATCGTTGATGTGCATCAGGAACAGAGTGGGCCCCAGCGCAGTGCCTTGAGGCACGCCAATTGTAGTGGGGCACAAGTCAGTTAGATGGTCGTCGACCTGTACTCTCCACTTTCGTCCAACAAGAAAGTCGCGGATCCACCGGTGCAGAGAGCCACCGACGCCACACATGCTGAGTTTGTGAAGGAGAACCTCATGGCTGACCTTGTCGAACGCTTTACTGAAATCGATGAATATCACGTCGACGGACTTCCCCTTGTTTATTGCCTTCAACCACTCATGCCTCGTCACAAGCAGGTTCGTAATGCATGAGCGACCTTGCATAAAACCGTGCTGTGCGGGCGTCAGGACCTCGTTTGACTGTAGCAACTGCAGAAGTCTCTTCTTCACGATTTTCTCAGCAACCTTTGCCAAAATATGTGTCAGACAAATTGACCTGTAATTGTCTACTTTGCTAGGGTCGCCGCCTTTCAGAATAGGCTTCACCACCGAACATTTCCAGTCAACCGGCAACGAACCTTCGGACAGCGACCTGTTGAAAAGGTCAGTCACGACAGGAGAGAGGATGGTTGAAAGTGACTTGAGAACCAGTGAATGAAGCCCATCAGGTCCGGCAGGTTTGGTGCCGTCAAGGTTGGCGAGTAGTTGAGCTACCTCTTCAATACCGCAATGCAGACTATCGAGTTCGGTAAAAGCGGTACACGTCGAACTCGGAACAGACACCTGTTTCTGGAATCCCGTAGATACCTTGAGGAATGTGAATCAGTTGACCTCCCAACTTTTAGTGAAAGCGTCACCACACTACACGTAGTGTTTATCTTTGAACAATTTCCTAGCTGTCGCAAGTTCTTTCCTATCACATATTCGCGGCTCGAATACTATTATTTCGCCACGTGGAATCTACCAGTGTCTGGTTTTTTTTAAGCATTTGTTCGATCTACTTCATATCTGTCATATCCTTTGTTTTACCATAGGCCAGTTGCATTGCTACGGAGGTCCTGAGACCTCTTGCAGGTGCAGATGTTCTGGACGCGTGTGCCGCACCGGGGAACAAAACGTTGCATCTGGTGGCCGCTATGTCTCCAGACTCCACGTTGTTTGCTGTCGACTGGGATCCCACCAGGTTTGTTCCGGACTCGCTCCGTCTATCCACCCGTTTTCTTCCCCGAAACCATTGCTTTGTGAAATTTATTGTGTGTTTGTCCACCCACCTCTACACCTACTGCCTATGGCTATTCACTTGGGTACTCATCCATCTAATGAGTGGTTGTAAACTTGAAGCCGCTTATGTCCGTGAACGCACCCACACGGAATACCAACTGATCCGAATACATCGTCTGCTCTATTTTACTCAGTAGTTTTCTGAGCAACCTGTACTCCTGTGCGATAACCAACAGGCTCTTTTTCTTTACGATATTGGTAGACGACACTTTATCCTTTTTGCATCGATGAATTAGCTATTGCTTTATTTAGATGAACTTATCGGACATTATTGTTCGATAAATACGTTTGTGCTCGCGCATCTCAGTGGCATAGTGATTATAGCGTCAGTCATGAACAACTAGTAACTGAGTTCCACCCCAGCTCCGGCTATCTCCATCTGATAAGTCCAAACCAGGACGAAACCGCGGTCGTGGGGTGCCAGTGTCGGGTGGAGCAACACCCAAATAATTCCATTACCTTTTTACTCTCATCTCTCGTTTTTATTTCTCGGATTATCTTCGTTTCAAACCTATTTCAAGGTTCCGACTCTTGTGCGAACATTTATCGGCTTCCGGAGTGCAGTATCTTATCACCTCGGGACCTCTTAACTCTTCTTCTATTCACTTGGAGAGCTCCACGGAAAACACACGCACACAACCAACAGTCGAGGCATTATGTGAAGATTTCCTGTCCCTGAATCCTCATGATCCGAAATTCTCTCGCGTGAAATACATCCTATTGGATCCCTCGTGTTCCGGTACCGGCTTGTATGGACGACAGCCTGATGTAACCAGACCTCTGAATTCGCCCACTACTGACCAGTCTCGGCGTTATGACCTAGTTGACGAACACGAAGCCGAGCGCCTCCAACGATTGTCGAACTTACAGGCAAAATTACTAAGACATGCACTGTCTTTTCCTAATCTCGAACGGGTGGTTTACTCAACTTGCTCAATTCACTCTGAAGTAAGTCATTTCGTTTTCCGTTCCTCGCAGATGGGCTGAACGGCCGTTTTTTTACCTACAGACTTATTGCTCCAAGGCTGCTCATACAAAAAAATGTGTTCCGTCTCATTTCCATTCTTTCACTAGGCCGGGTTTCGTTGGGCATATTTCGCCATCTTTATGAAAGACGTTGACCCTATGGCGTGTCTCATTGTTTCTTTCGGGCCAACTGATTTTACCATCTCTAGTCTCTAAGATCATCTCATCACTTTTGACCTATCACAGATGATCACAGATCCAGTCACACAGCCATCATTATCCTAAAATGCCCTCGGTACCTTTAACGTCGGTTCGAGAATTTTTAACACTGCGCACCCCCACTTGGCGCTTTGGCGTGTTCGATGTAATAGTCCACCTTTTGTTGACAATAACTAAAGCCCATGTAAATGAACATATGTTTTCGATAATCCTTCATCAGGGTAGTACAGTTATATACCAATTACATCGATTTGACAGACTACTGAGTCGTTAAAACGGGATAAAGTCAGTTTACAAGAGGTCAACTATCGCCAGTAATCAGGTCAATGTCGAAGTCTTCTCATTTACCTGTTCCTGTGATTCAGGATACATTGGTCGTACGACTAGGTGTCTATCCGAACGAATGAAAGCACACCATCCGGCATGGGTAGCGACCGGATGCAGTAGGGTATGTAACTCAGCCATAGCTGCCCACCTTGCCGACACAGGCCACAACCCTAGGCCAGCGGAAGCATTCCAAGTTATTTACAAGGCCCCGGATAATCGATGGAGGTATATGCGCAGACGGATACTAGAAGTCGTTGAAGCTATAGCAATCCGGTTGTACGAACCGAACTTGTGCACTCAAAAGCGATTTGTTCAAGCCTTACAACTGCCCTGGCCCCATCGAGTAGTGATTTTTACTCAGTTGGATGGTGTGAAGACTCCAACATTGACCTGCTCATTGGCGCTAGTTGACCTTTTGTAGACTGATTTTACCCCGTTTTAACGACTCAGTAGTCTATCTTATCGATGTAATTGGTATATGCTTGTACTTGCCTGATAAGGAATTATCGAAAACATATGTTCGCTAACATTGACTTTTGAATAACTAAAGCTTCTGAACCAAGCGGATAACAGGAGCTGACTTGGCTTTAGCGATTAGTTGAGACTCACTTTCCATCATCGCGCACCTTTCTGCTCTTTGGAACACCGAATGGCCGTATCGCACAATGATTTAAAACCCATTCTATATGTTGAACACTTGAATCACATATGGTTTGGGCAGTACATTGCTTATGGGGGAGGGGAGTTTCAGGGCAACCAAAATGGTTTGAATTAACACACACTGGTTTAGAGACATCTTGGTCCTTCTGCATTTTCAGTCTTTTCACTAACCGACCGAGTGTATGATTTATCCTACGAGAGTCTGCGTATATATCAATTATGCCGGCCACATAGAAACTAGATTTTCGTATATCATTCAACCCATTAGTTTGTCATTCTCTAATTGTGTAACTGTCGGCCGGTGGCCGAGTGGTCTGGACGTTTGGTTTGCAACCATAAGGTCACCGGTTCGAATCCGCGTAGGGATGGGCGTCCTCGCCGTATACTCAGCCCGCGCGCGACTGGTGGTGATCGCGCAGCAGCGAAGCGCCGTTACGGCGTACAGCTGACGCATTATTATTTATTCCTAATTGTGTAACTAACGGTCTCCATGTTCATGCAGTGTGCACTCCCGATAACTTGATTTGTGGCACAGTAATATGCCGGCACCCAGGGATAACTTGGCGTTTCTCATGCCTCCTCGCTACAGCTGGGCTCTCTCTAGGGGGTTGGACCTGTTTCTTGGAATGCTTTACTCTTGTGCACATCGGGATATGTTAACTTTATGTTTACTCGACGCGAATGCTTACAATGTGCCCGATGTGTCTACCTACATTGCTTACAGTGACGGGATACACATTCTGCTAACCTTACTTCATGTTCTTTATATCTGATTTATCGTTACTTTCGTCAATGCTATTGTTATACTCACGCCGGGTAGTTTGATCAATCACACTATGCATGGATCATAATTGCTAGATTGAATTTTACGTAGGGTGAATGAGAACTTTTGAACCTCAAAAAGCGAACAAGCTACAGAATCAGAGATAAATCACCAAGGTCCATTCTCCGTCAGCAGACTTTGGCAAGTCTGGAAAAGCACCAGAAAGCGCTGTTTCAACCTTCTGGGTCTCAGTGATGCGCCCTCCAACGAACCCCTGCCTGGTTCCGACCCCATGACTTCCGGGTGCCAGCAGCCAGTGCCATTTCGCCATGGGTGACAGCCGCAGACCTGTATGATTGGCACTTGACTATGATATAGCCCGGCTCATCTTCCAATACTTTTATTTTTCCACATAATTACCTTCAAGCGCAACGCACTTGCTCCCAGTGGAATAGAGCTCTTCATATTGTGACTCTAAAAACCTACGGCTACTGTGACGTTACCTACGTTAAGAAAATGTTGGCTAGCTACAGTTTTTTTCAACTTTGGAAATGGGTGAAAAGGAGAGGAGACTAGTTCTGGGGAGAATAGGGTGGGTGAGGAAGAAGCTGGAAGCCGGAATCATGGATTGTATTTTTTACGAATGGTTGATGTGTGAGCTGGAGCATTGCAATTGTGCAAAAGGACTCCTGTTGTCAGCATTTCGGGCCTTTTTTCCCTATTTTTGAGCCGTTTCAGATGATCACAGTAATAATTTCCGGTGATGTTATGACCTCTTTCAAGGCAATCAATCATCACACCTCTGGAGTCCACCCAAAAACAAATGCCAGCTGACGCCGTAACCTATGCCTTCTTTGGCGCTGGAGATGAGGCGCGCTTTCATTCCTTTGATCGGTTTTTTTGTTCTTGCTGAAATTGGTGAATCCAGGACTTATCAATAATGATGAATCATGCAAGAAAGTTATCGGGATCTGCTTAAAACAGTTCTAAATTGTTCTTGAACATCACGTTTCGAATGCGCTTCTGCTCAGAAGACGTGGCACCCATCAAGCGGAAACTTTTGAGTAGTCTGACTGCTTCTTCGGAATAGTATCTGCTCGCTCCTGGGCGATGCCTAATCTCTTTGCCAACTGACAAGTTGCTAATCGGCAATCTTACATGATCATATCCACCGCTAGGTCAAGATTTTCTTTAACGGTGTCGGTTTAAATGATACTCGTCATCGACTCATATTCAGTGTTCTCCCTTTCATATTAAGGTACATTGTCATGTAAAGTATTGAGCATATTTTGGTGGATTTCAGATCATGACATTTTTTTGAAATAGAAATATTTGACCACCGCATGATGCTACAATATTTCCATTTTCGCAAACTGCAGCCCCCTGTTCACTCCTATAATCTGCTGAAATGAAAGCAAAAGGGAAATATTTATATGGCATGAATAAGGAAAAGTGGTCGATTATAGCATCTAATTGACTTGCTAACTATTAGATTTGGTGTCTGGCCCAAAACCGAGTGGCGTGGGAACTACAACCATGTTGTCGTTTCTCTGTATCTCTTTGATGGTTAGAATTACGACGTTTTTGGAAAGACCATCACGGCCCTGTCGATCACTGGACGCCAGTAACGATAATTCCGCCGAATGCTATCATCTAGTTTGAGGTTTAACCATCCGCTTAAGCTTCATTGATCGTCCACTTATCGCAAAAACTTTTTCTGACTAACACTTCGCCTCCGTATTCATGTGCAAGAACCAACTTGGTTGTTCACATGCAAATCTTGACTCATGGAACCACAAAATGACCACTACTTGTGATTACACTCTTTACATTCGTCCCTTCTTTTTGTGATCTCATTTTGCTGCGCTTTGTTCGCATCCGTCAATCTTTACATCTGTTTCGTTAAATTATGAGCAGCCTTTGGAACTCACATCTTCAGTGCCATCTGCCAAATTGTACAAACCTTTGCACGGGACCGAGTTCATGCGGACTCAAACCAATCAGCCAGTTGTATGAAATCTAATCGGTATTTTGACCAGAAGCAGTGAACTTCACTGACTCTCCATTCTTTGACCCATCATAGGTGGCTTATTCCACACTTTGGCACTACTTTAATTTCATGGTCTCTGAATCGATGGCGATCGCTTTGTGCAAGATTATTGTTTATTCATTACTTTCGAGCATACATCTGTCTTCGTCATTTCTCTGTATCGTTTGATACTTATATATTTAGTATTGCGTGTTATCGATTTCACAGGAAAATGAGACCGTGGTATCCGAGTCTGTTGAGCGTGAGGCAGGGAAATTCCAACTTGAGCGCATTTGGATGGATCCTCCGTCCGAAAGTGGCGGATGCAACAAGCCATTTTGGCCTCATCGAGGATTTTCCGACTTTGGATGTGAACCTTGCATTCGTGCCTCACCGGAGGAGGATCTCACAAACGGTTTCTTCATTGCCAGTTTCAAGCGCGTATTTCAATCTGATCTATCAGAATCGGCTGAGACAAAGACGAAACGAAGGAACTCGCAAGATAGTATAGATGGAGTTTGTATGAAGAAGCCTAAAATTGCCACTTGAACATATGTACAAACCTTTTGAAAATAACATATATTTTCCACTTTTCGACTTTTTTCATTCTTGTTTGGTTGTTATCGTAGTTTGGCCTCAATCACTCACCTGTGAGACACTAGGAAACTTTCAGCGTGCACATATTCTCCCTACTATCACTTTGTTTCTGATTTCATTATTTGTGAACTGCCATTAAAGTGGTGGTAGGGAATTATTTGATTTGTGTCATTACGCCAATGACATCGTCTTTTTATTTGACAGTTGTGGGACGGCCCAGTCATCCATGAATTATCTCTGGACTGATCGCGTCCTTTGGCATGCACTTTACGTTTACAGAGTGCGAAGTGTTATTGTATGGCCACTGGCCATTTGATGACCACTTGACTCTTAACGACAAGGAATTGCTGATGATCCGTTTGGCTTCTTGGCCGCATTATCAGCGATGGGTGTGTATTTGCCGAAGCTGTTTCACCTATTGTAAAATCTAGAACCGCATTCTTGGATTAACAACCTGTGACACCAGAAGAGGGCTTCCCCGGGTCTGAAATGCCGACGCACCGTGCGAATTATTCTCCTCCTACGGAGTGTGGAGCTTGACGCTTCCGATCTGAGGCACCTTCAAGTCCTTGTTCATGATTGCTTGCAGTGCATTGCAGGTGTCGAATGCCACTGGCGTGTCCCCGGTAACGTTATGCGCAAGCGAATCCTAGACGGTGATAGGTTAATTCCATAGACTAACGCATAATAATGGATAAGTTGCGTTGGCTTGGGCACGTGCTATCTATGACTAGTCGCCACTTGTCGACGGGGACTTGTTTACTGGATGCTAAATTACACGATTCTCGAGGGTGTGTGGGTGTGTGTGTGCAAAAGTCTACTCGACAGCGGAAACGGAAGTCACTGACAATTGGGTTCAGTTCAGTTCAGTTGAACAACTATGATCCGGCCAACCAACTCCAGTGCACCCAGTTGACACAATTCAAGTCACCAAAATCACTATAAATGATAATAATGGGAAATTGAGGTTTAACACAAATTAAGTACAAAAAGTTGGAAACAAAATGGAGGTGCACAAAACTAGTTAGGTGGAACGAAAATTAACAACCGTATTCAAGAAACCGAATGCAGGAACGTCACTAACTGCGACTGCGCCTTGTCTGTTAAGGTCTCTAACCAAGCCTGTTATTCGATTTCTTCATGAGTTTGTGCCACCTCTGACCACCTCGCGTTTTCCCCCAACTTGGTGCAGCCACTGCGTATAAGGCACGCCGAGGAACTTACTCAGTGGGGCGTACAGAGGGCATGACCTAGCCATTATACGTGATTATGCATTAGCAAACACTCGAAAGTGGTATCAGGTTTCTTGCCAAAAGCCAACTAGTGAATCTCAGCATTGCTCACTCGGTGTTTGCACTAGCTATGGACAATACTCCGCAACGCCCGATGATCAAACATGACCAATCTTTTACTATCTTTAGTACGAACCGGCCAGGTCTCTGATCCATACAGTAACATCGACCTTTTCGCAATGTTATACACTTTACCTTTCATTAACAGGCTGATCTCCAGCCGTCTCCATTGATGTTTGAGCCTTTGATTAGCCTTGCTGACACGTGAAGTAACGTCTTCAGTGATGTGACCAACAGAGGTGACACAGCTACCAAGGTAAGCGAACTGATCCACCACTTACGGTGCATGTTCTGGGATAGCTAGAACCACTGGCATATCGGTCCAGTCGTGGAATAATGATCTTCACTTTGAAGTAATAAAGCACATGCCGAAGTGTGCAGCGTTACGCGTCAGCCTGTCCAGTAGTGTTAGAATGGCCAATGCGTCAGACCCAAAGATACCTACATCGTCCGTATACTCAAGGTTTATCAGTTGGTTACCTGGAAAAACTTCCACTCCGGAATATTCTCAGCGAAAGTGGTCACCTATGCTTATTTCGATCACAAAGTTGAAGATGAAGGGATATGTTTGTCGATGCTGGAGAAACCGCTTTTGTTGCTTGCAACTGGGGGAAAGCTTTCCTTAGACCTTTATTTGGTCTCGGGAGTCTCAGTAGCGCGCTTCTGATTGGAAAGGAGTTTAGATGGCATTCCCTTTACGAGTAGGCAGTTTCACAAGACGTCTCGTTTATCAGAGTCGAAGGCGGCTTTCAAGCATAGGGAAACCATCTTAGTCGGTCATCTGGGAATTTCCCTGCTCCAACATTTGTCAAAGAGTAAACATGTGGTCGATGCAACTACGATCAGGGCGGAAGCCACCCTGGATTTCATTGACTCGGATCTCATGAAGACTGAGCGATGTTGGTCACTCTCGCATTTCAAGCCGGGATTCTCGCGATCCACAATGTGCATAGCCCAAGACGTTACAGGATATGGCCGGCAGTCGGCATCTGTGGCGCGTTTGCTGTCGTCTCGTAGCCGGACCCTCTGTTTGTGTTGTGTTTGGTGTTGAGCAGAGCAATGGCTGCATGTGACGCGAGGCAGTGAACGCTGCAGTAAAGTTATCTTCTCGACATCACGTTGGACTCGCGTGATAGCCAGCTTTTTGCGACAGTGCGTTGTTGACAAAGTGTAGACGCTTTGATCCTTAATGATTTTACTTAGGGCTTCTACTTGTTACCTCATGTCTCCCTTCGCTCACTTTTCTTATTCCATGTTCCACACGTCACTATGATTGGACAGCAGCGTAGCATCAATTCAAATGGCTGATGTGCTGTTGTTCTTGATGATGCTTCAGTTTATGTTCGGGTGAGAGATCATATGAAACATCTTTCCCGGCGTAATTTTTTGTTCATACGTAAGGTCAACGGGCCAATTTTCTCCTCCATCTTACCATCCGCGTAGCGGACTACTAGGCGTACACAATTGGTTCTGTTTCCTGGTTACTTCTTTTCCCGGTCGCTTTGAGCTAATCTATTTTTGCATTTGTTCTGTTGATGAGAGAGAATCACACCGATACCCTCCAATTCTCGCATTCTACTTAGCGGTCTTTTGGATATCTTCGAAACCGTAACCTCTCGTTTCAACGCTGACAGAAGTGGCGCATACTCACCTGGCATTCGCTATAGAATAGCTCGTGCTGTCAGTCAGGCGTTATATATATATATATATATATATATATATATATATATATATATATATATATATATATATATATATATAGTACGTCTGATGGAAGAGGGCCGATGAACGTTTTGCCACGACCTTCCGCGCTCAACATTCAGAGCGAGGTTAGCTGACAGCTAGCGATCGCCGGACAGTGTCATGTGCCTGTCTTTAGTTGTCTCGCTCGAACTGCCGGCATGCCGGCCTATACCTCACCAGTTTTGCGCTTGCACTCAGCTGATGCCTGAACTAAACCACTTGTATGAGGAGGATGCCATATGTCCGCACCACTAAGGTTAGACAGAAATTAATGGGTCTGCACTCGCGCACCCACGTCATTCCGCTAAGCATTTGATGGCGGGGACAACTATCGTAAATGACCGGCATTCACCATTAACGAGCCGCGGTCGGTTCGTGAACCGCCCTTCACATTCCGGAATGCGTTCATCGGCCCTCTTCCATCGGACGTACTGTATATATAATATGGAATGCGTAGCCTCAATGGGCGACCTGTGACACCGCATTCGCGACCAAGTGACAGCTGCTGCCGGAGAGACTGTCAGGCGCGCAAACTGTAAGCGGCCTGATTGGTGTGATGAGAACAATGCGACGATTGGCACATTGGTGTCGAGGAAGAATGCAGCATTTGCTACACCTATGGCAGACCCCAGTGAGTTGGGGAAGAATAGTCAGTTTCGCAAACTTCGATGGCGACTGACTCGAGAGCTCCGTCGCATTAAAAATACATGGTGGACGGAGAAGGGGAAGCAGATGGAATGCTACGCCGAACGCCGCCAACACAAGGAATTCTTTGCCTCCTTGAAGGCGGTGTATGGACGGAGATTGGAGCCGCTGAGGACACTGGCCGATGATAGCTCAGGCGCTACCTGCACACAGAATGCAGACACAATGCAACTCTGGCAAAAACACTGACTGTCTCTTGTACAACCTTTCAGAGATTGAACGGCCTGAAGCATCACGAGGTGAAGTTGAGTCTGGCGGACACGCCGATAATGGATGAGACGCGGAGAGCACTTGCTCAGCTGCGAAACGACAAGTGTGTTGGTGCCAACGGGATCCTGCCTGAAGTATTGAAACACGGCGGACCCACGTCGGTGACTGCGCTGCACCACTTGCTGCAAAGTGTATGGATTGAGGAGGAGGTGCCTGCTGAGCTGAAGGATGCCCTTGTGCTCCCACCGTACAAGGGTAAATTGAGCGAGCAATGTTATACAGATTATCGTGGCATCAACTTGCTGAATTGTGTGGGCAAGGTGATTACCCAAATTCTGCTCAACCGCCTCGTCAGTCAGATTGTGGAATTGAACGTGACGAAAGAGCAATGTGGAATCCGTTCGGGTCGCAACACTATCGATATGGTGTTTGCGGCTCGTCATTTGCAAAAGAACTGTAGAGAACGACTCCAGCCATTGTACTCGCTTTTTATTGTTTTCACCAATGCATTTGATACGGTGAACCGCGAGGCATTGTGGCTGGTGTTGGGTAAGTTTAGTTGTTAGAGTAAATTTCTTAGTTTGATTGCGTGTCTGCACAGTGGTATGCGGGCGAGGGTGCAGCTGAGTCGACAGGCCTCGGATGACTGCAGTTGTCTCTGGTGTGAATCAGGGCCGTGCCTTAGCTCCTGTCCTGTTTATTATTTATCTTCATGCTCTGATGTCTTGTGCTTTTGATGCCGCTTGTGCTTAGAATGTTCGTGTTGAGCACCGTATTGATGGTGGGCCGCTGAACATCCGTCGTTTCGGTGCGAGAACTCTAGTCTGTGAGACAACTATCCGTATGTTGCTGTTCGCTGACGACTGTGCGTTGTTTTCACACAACGCGGATGAGTTGCAGCACATGACTAGTGCTCTGGCTGCGACAGCGGCCAAAATCTGACTCACCATCGACACAAGCACAACCGTCTGTCTCTTTCAGCCTTCACCGGAGGTG